CATTTAGAAAAAAATGTCTGTATAACTGTTATTTTCACGAAAAAGTCCAAAGCCCGTAATTTTGGCAAAAATCAACCAAACATTAACTCATTCTGTAACTCATAATAGTAAACTCGCATACTAAAAATCAGCTCAATATGTGGAGGCGTTTAAAAAAAAAAACAAGGTATAACCGTTTGTTGCAGAATGACGGAACAACGGATAAAGGCAACACTATATGGCCCGGACCTAAGTCGTTAGGGCCATAAAAAAATTGTCTTTCAAGAGTAATAACTCCTGTAAGGGATCAATTGACAATTTCGGTTGACCTATTTTTAGGTCTTATTTTGCTGAACATTTTTGCTGTTTGAAGTTTCTATCTATCATAGTTTCTGCTAAAAAATAAACAAATTGGTAATAACTCCTACAAGGGTTTAAGAGTGTGATCATGTTGACTTATTTGTTGGTCTGTCTATGCTGAAAATTTTTGCCATCCAAATAACAACAAAAATTGAAATTGAGAAAAATCTTCTTTCAAAGGCAATTAGGGAGCTACCATTTCATTTTTATGGGGGGGGGGGGGCTAGGATGATAAAAAGGGAGGGACAGGAGTTTTGAGTAAAAAAAAAATCATGATGAGCAACTTGGCAAAAAAAAAAAGGCAGGATGACAATTTATGATTTATGTAATACAAGTCAGGATAAACTAATAAAAAAAGGCAGGACCGAATAGAGTGAAAAATAAAAAGGCAGGACAGAGATTACAACTAAAAATAAATGCAGGACAAAATTTTTCATCCTAGCCCCCATAAAAATCAAATGGTAGCTCCCTAAATCCTATAAGGAATCAATTGACATAAGACATCGTCTTAAAGTACTGATGAAAATGGACAGTAAGTAGATCTCAACATCCTGAAAATTTTAGCATTTTACACTTGTGTTCTTTTTTTTAGTAATGTTTGTCATGTTGGTTGGCAGACAGGACCATCAAACACATTTTATAAACTAGATAGCCCAGTGATGATTTTGGCAGTTTGGTTACAATTGGCCCAGAACTTTCAGAAGTTTCAGAAGAGAAGCTTGTTTTGTTGGCGTCTCATTAACATAGTCCCCAAATCCCCTCTTATTCTTAGTTAAAAGTCAGGGTATATAAACTGTCCAATGCAACATATGGGGACTAGGATCAGCATCAAATTGGGGCAGCAAATTTTTTAACTTAGTAGATAGGTCAGTAAAAATTGTCAAATATGTAACTATTTTTGGGTAAAGATTGCATGAAATGCAATTAGAACACTATGGTACTGACTTGATATCTAAATCTTCCAAGGTTTATCACTACCTTTGATAGTTGAAATAAAAAAGTGCAGTGAAGTGATCATTCATTAGATCCTATCCAGTAAATGCCTTGCAGTTTATTAATGATATGTTATATTTAGATATTCAAGTTACAATATGACTTGTATTTGAATTACCATATAACAAAAATGTGTCCATAGTACATGGATGCCCCACTCACACTATCATTTTCTATTTTGGCATTAAAATTAGGAAGATCATTTCATAGGGAACATGTGTACTAAGTTGTAAGTTGATTGGACTTCCACTTCTTCAAAAACTACCTTGACCAAAAACTTTTAACCTGAAGCAGGACAGAAGGACGAATGGACGAACGAACGGACGCACAGACCGCAAAACATAATGACCCTAGGTGGGGCATAAAAATAAGGAGATGTGGTATGATTGCCAATGAGACAACTATCCACCAAAGTTCAAATGAAATAAATGTAAGCACTTATAGGCAACTGACATGCGAAAAGCCCCTTTATTTTTTACAAAAAACTCAATATCTCTAAAATAAAATTTTGAATCAAAACCAAAAAGTATACAGATCTTTAGATTAATATACCTAAGAAGTGTGTAATATTTTAAGCAATAATCATAAATCGTTTTTGAGATACGGCGTGACATGTGAAAAACCCCTCCCCCTTTTTTTACAAAATACTCAATAACTCAAAAATAAAATTTTGAATCATCACCAAAAAGTATACAGATCTTAAGATTAATATAACTAAGAAGTGTGTAAAGTTTTAAGCAATAATCATAAACTGTTTTTGAGATATGGTGCGACATGTGAAAAACCCCTCCCGCTTTTTTAACAAAATACTCAATATCTCTAAAATTAAATTTTGAATCATCACCAAAAAGTATACAGATCTTAAGATTAATATAACTAAGAAGTGTGTAAAGTTTTAAGCAATAATCATAAATTATTTTTGAGATACGGCGCGACATGTGAAAAAAAACCACACCCCTGTTTTAGTTACAAAGTCCCGTAACTGAAAAAGTTGTAATCTTATTTTCACCAAAAAGTATACAGATTGTTTGACCATCATAATTGACGGGCGTATAAAAACCTTTACCGTATGGTCGGCTATAAAAGGCCCAACATGAAAAATATGAAACAATTAACTCATCAGATGGATACAAATATAAAAATATCTAACAAAAACACAGAGTAGACGTGGATGGGTACTTATACATCCCAAAAACAAAAAGACACTACTTACAGATCTGAGCGTACTCACAGTTACTGACAGCTAGTTGAAAGCCAATAACTAATGAAAAAATATCAATCAGTACAGATCCAAAATCCAATGGATTTAGGGTAAAGATGTCATTAACAGTCAAGAGAAAAACATGACCTTGTGCAATGCCAAACAATAGGTATTGACAGATTGTAGTATCATGAAAGTACATTTATGGAATATTAAGTATGGTTTTAATTTACTGATAAACAAAATAAATTTATACCAATAAAACAATATTCAAAGATTTAATTACTGTGTTGAATAGGTAACCTTTTAGAATAAGTTTATCTAAAGGATTGATAAGTTTACCTGGATCGTATCTAAATTTCCGGGCTCGGTTTACAACATCACCATAAAATTTAGGATGTGCTATTCCGTTTGAAATAAGTTTTCTACAGGTACAGCCAAACTTGTCAAGAAAAATTTTCTTTATTGAGAATAACTAGGGATGTCAATGAGTACTCAAGTATTCGAGTATCACATGGTAGTACTTTAAACTAAATATGTCTTAGCCATTCCGTCACATTGGTACCGTCAGAGCAAATATGTTCGTCTGCAAGCTTGAATGTAATTTACAAAGTTAGCAAATCAGACTGTCCCCAATAAAAGTTGAAAAGAAAATATTTCCAAATAAAATAAAATAGTTGCACCCTCTGGTGACCCTCAGTAAACAGTTAAACTTCTAATCCTTACGCCTTTGTAAACATTTAATGTGTTTTCTTAAGATTACCAAATACAATGTACTATTGTTTGATATGGTTTTTCCATGTTATAATTTTTAAATAGGTGTTCATCAAATTATATTGATTAGATTATTGTCTTTACTGAATTAGTACTTGTAGGTAATGAGCTATTAATTATGGTGTGTAGTTCCTTGTCCTTATGTAGACGGTTTTTTGTCAACAAACAAGTGAACAACAAACCATAGAATATAAAGTACATATTTTTGTGTTTCTGTGTTGTAGATATATTCCCTAGGGAGTACTCAAGAATTGCTTGATAAAACCAACGAGTACTTGATTAGTAATTGTTCACCGAGTTGATGTCCCTAAAAATTACATAAGTAATTCATGGTGTATGAATCTGTTATAAAAATAGACTCAACTATAAATGTACAATCATGAACAAAGAGAGAATAACTCCAACTCAAATTTATAATTTACCTAATTACAATTCAGTGTTTTATTTTAAATTTACAAAATTGCAAAATGCAATCTTTACCTTTCTGTACTCACAAGCACTTTGATTAAAAGCTGTTTTAGTAAACTAAATGTATTCCACAAAATGCACTTATATAAGAGGTATTCACAGGTTTATTTAAGCTGTTTTAACAAAAAAAAAGGTATTTCACAGGACCAAGTTCGTGTACATAATATGTACAGAAATAGTAGAACACTCACGCAATATATCAGGATTGCCTTCAGATTTAAAATTTGCACTTCGTTTCTGCCTGTTTGAACTTATAAATGTCATATTGTGTAACATAAGTTGTCCAACAGTTTACTAACAACTCTCCCATTGCAAGGAAAACAATTTTGCCTTCTGAAATTTTATGATTTAACAGTTATTAAACTACATGCTCTTGTTTTGCTCACCTAGGTCAATATGCATCTTCAACAATGGACACTCTCCAACCTTAATGACTAGAATAGAATTCATGACAAAAATCTCATTTTGTTGATTTTGCTGATAATTTTTCTTTTTAAAGTTTCTATCTTCATTAGTTTTTGCCAAAAATTAAACACAAAAGAGAGTAACTCTATTAAGATGTGGTCTGACTACATCAGCCATGTTGATTTACGTGTGATCTTGTCTTGCTGATCAATTTTGTTATTCGAAGTTTCTCTCAATCTGTTAAGTTTACAAGATAATACACAAAAACACTTAAAATTGGTAAAAATCATCACTAAAGAGCAAGAACTCAAATAATGAGAAGACTGACAATTTCAGCACTGTTGAATTATTTGTAGATCTTGTCTTGCTGATAATTTTTTCTGTTTAAATTGTCTATCTATATATTATAGTTTTCAAAATAAAAGACCAAACTTGCTTTTTACCTCAATGTTTTTTTCTTAGCAATGTTCACCATCTTAGTTGGCAAGCAGGGTCATAGGACACATTTGAAAAAAAACATGCCCCAATGATGATTGTGGCCAAGTTTTTTTGAATTTGGCCCAGTCTTTTCAGAGAAGATTTTTGTAAAAGTTAACGGACGAGCTAAAAAACTGATTTAAGCAGAAAACTTTACAATTGTTGTCGCCGCCAACAATGATGCAGGAAAAGCAACATCTATGTCTTGCCAACACTTTCGTAGCAGGCTAGACAAAAAACAGTTGTACATTTGGGATGGTAATTCATGTGTAAGAAGGGGGCTGGGATTGACCTTCGTAGACTACATACCATCTGGCATTATATATCATGCATTTAGCCCAAATGAGCTTTTTACATATTTATTTGGCACTTAAAAATTAAGTATATGTTATGATTGTTATTTGATGGTACAGCTTGGATCAGTATTGGTGAAAAACAAATAAAATCTTCTAGACATCTCCTTTCCAATACGCCTAGTGGTTTCAAGAACACCTGCTCCTCTCCTCACCTATCAAACAAAATTTTAAATCAAATTTTTAAACATTTATCAGACATGTTAAATAATTTATATGATCAAAATTTTTGTTTCTTTTCCCATAATATATATACAAAGGATTTTTGTCACGATATTCCAATAGCATGAGTTCGAATCCCAAAGAGGGAAGAACAAAAAATTTGCTTCTGCAAATTGCAGATTTCACATTGTTGTGCTGATATTTAGAGTAATTAAAAGGATTTTAATATATAATAAAATTAAAAACCATTTTTATACAGATATGCAATTTAACCTTCATAAACAAAAATGGTGTCAGAAGATACTCATCTTACAAGATTCCAAAAATATAAAGTTTGCATTACTTTTCTTTGAAATAAGGCACATGATCAGCTATTTCAAGTTTCTTCTGATAGCTTACTTTTCACTGATTCCTCAAAAAGTATGGTTTATATGTATTTCCATTTAAAATAACCGAGATAAAGGCTACTTCTGGTGTACGATATGCTACTTCCAATATGTAATACCTTTCATTACTAGGATTCCAAAATATATCTTTGGTTGAAATAAGGGAGATAATTGGCTACTTCTGGTGTCATATGATAGTTTTCATTACTCTCATTAAAAAAATATATGGTTTCTATATACTTTTGCATAAAATAAGGGATTTAATTAGCTACTTCTGGTTTCCCAATTTGACTTCCTGTTCACACGAAATGTTGATTCACACTGATTCTGAAAATGTATGGTTTCTAGGTACTTTAACAAGAAATAAGTGCAAACAAGAGTGCACACTCTGAAATGTTTCACCTGTTTTACTTATCACTGAATTCATGTTGAAAGTCTGTAATATGAAGGTTTTACTACAAGTATCATATAAACTTAACATTATTTCATATTTTATGAAAATGAGGTCACGGTCAGATGAAGGATGCAAGACAGACATGTACACCTTACAATAATTCTATACACCAAATATAGTGGTCCTATCGCAGAAAAACAGATGAAACTACAAATCTTAAAATTCACCAATGAACCATAAAAATGAGGTCAAGGTCATATGAACCCTGCCAGACAGACATGTACACCTTACAATCATTCCATACACCAAATATAGTTGACCTTTTGCTTATATATATATATATATATATATATATATAGTATCTGATAAACTGACAAAATTACGAAAACTTATCATTGACCAATGAACCATGAAAATGAGGTCAAGGTCATTTGAACCTAACCAAGACAGACATGTACACCTTACAAACATTCCATACACCAAATGTAGCTTTCCTTTTGCTTATATATATATATAGTATCTGATAAACTGACAAAATTACGAAAAACTTATCATTGACCAATGAACCATGAAAATGAGGTCAAGGTCATTTGAACTTAGCCAAGACAGACATGTACACCTTATAAGTGTTCCATGCACTAAACATTATTGACCTATTGCTTATAATATCTGAGAAATAAACAAAACAACAAAAACTTAACATTGTCCAATAAACCATGAAAATGAGGTCAAGGTCAGATGAAACCTGCCAGACAGACATGTACATCTTACAATTATTCCATACATCAAATATAGTGGCCCTATTGCTTATAGTATCTGAGAAATAGACCAAACCACAAAAACTAAATATTCCAACTATACAGTATGGGATTTTCTCATTGTTGAAGACCGTATGTTTGCCTATAATTGCTTACATCTACTTTATCTGAACTTTAGTGGATAGTTGTCTCATTGGCAATCATACCATATCTCCTTATTTTTATATTGTCCAATGAACCATGAAAATGAGGTCAAGGTCAGATGAAATCTGCCAGTCTGACATGAACACCTTACCATCACTCCATAAACCAAATATAGTTGACCTATTGCTTATAGTATCTAAGATATGGACTTGACCACTTAACTTTTACCTTGATCACTGATCCATGGAATGAGGTCGAGGTCAGGTGAACCCTGTCTGACAAGACATGTAGAGTAGACATTGCAAGGAACCTATATATATACCAAATATAGTTATCCTATTACTCATGATAACTGAATATTACAAAAAAAAAAATTTTCTTTCAAGCAGTCACTGAACCATGAAAATGAGGTCAAGGACAATGGACATATGACAAATGGAATCTTGGTAACATAAGGTATCTGCACACAAGGTATGAAGCATCCAGGCCTTCTGAAATATAAAGCCTTGAACAAATAGTTTACACCATCGCTGCAGCCTCCGAATTGTAATACCTGTCTCGCATACTGCGACTTTTGTCACAGGCAAACAAAAAAAATACTTTCAGTTTACACAAGGTCACTTCCAGTTGACATTTTTCAAGGTCATATGCTGTCCAGCCTAATGCAAAAAACAATTAATGGCTTTAACATGTAATAGTATGAAGTTATAGCAAGGTCAAAACATAAAACGTCAAATTAAACTTTGACCTTGACCACAATTTCAAGGTCAAAATTCTCATATCAAAGGACAGTACATAATATATTTGCTTTGTATTGATCTGAGTTAAGCCCTTTTCAACTAATTTTTATAGTATGTTCTTATACTGTGCTTTTACACCACTTCGCAAGGTAGGGGAAGGGTTTGGCACCCAGAAATATGTTTAACCCTGCCACAGTCTGTATGTGCCTATCCCAAGTCGGGAGCCTGTATGTCGGTTGTTGTTGTTTGTTGCGGTATATTATATTTGTTTTTCGTTTATTTTTTTATACATAAATCGTGACGCTAGTTTTTTTCTGAATTGTTTTACATTTGTCATTTTAGGGCCTTCTATAGCTTGCTATGTGGTATGGGTTTTGCTCATTGCTGAAGGTGACCTTTAGTTGCTAACATCTACATCATTTGGTCTCTAGTGGAGAGTTATCGTATTGGCAATCATATCACATTTTCTTATTTCTATATTGTTAGAATTTATCCTACAAAACAGCTTATTTTGGAAATTAAAGGGGAAAAAACTTCTTGAAAAGTTCCCAGAGCACTGCAAACCAAATGCATTGGTGTAGCATTATGTTGCAAATTACAATTTGCCAAAAACTTTGTCGATAACTTTAAGGGTTTCTGAGGAGTTGCTATACCAATTTAGAAGATGACCTTGACCTAATTGTTCTGCTTTTTGACTAAGGACCTCATATCAAATTCCTCTAGATTTCTATGACTTTTGGTTTATGAGTTACTCCAAAATAAGCCTCATGTCAAACACAAAAAGGGAAAACTTAATATTTACCAATGAACCATGAGAACCCTGCCAGACAGACATTTTTCTTCATATGTTATTTCTTGATCTTGAAGAAGCTAATTTCCAAGTTTCAGAACATTCCATGAAGGTTTAAAGTAGTGGACTTTATGTGAATGTTAATTACTTAGAACAAGTATGTGTCCATAGTACACGGATGCCCCACTCGCACAATCATTTTCTATGTTCTGTGGACTGTGAAATTGTGGTCAAAACTCTAATTTTTGCATTAAAATTGGAAAGATCATATCATAGGGAACATGTGTACTAAGTTTCAAGTTGATTGGACTTCAACTTCATCAAAAACTACCTTGACCCAAAACTTAAACCTGCCCACTCACACTATCATTTTCTATGTTCAGTGAAAGTGAAATTGGGGTCAAAACTCTAATTTGGCATTAAAATTAGAAAGATCATATCATAAGGAACATGTGTACTAATTTTCAAGTTGATTGGACTTCAACTTCATCAAAAACTACCTTGACAAAAAACTTTAACCTGAAGCGGGACAGACAGACGGACGAATGAACGCACAGACCCAAAAACATAATGCCCCTAGGTGGAGCATAAAAAAAGGGTCCACATATCAGTCAAGTATGGAAAAATAAAAAATATGTTTTCAAACTTTGGATTTGGACATTATCTCTTAATCATATAAAGGCTTCATAAAATTCCCTGAAGGTTTGACAAAGTTATTGATGTCTGAAAAACTTGAATATTAGAATATAATCTTGTAAATTTAACTGCAAAAAAAACCTAAATAGACTGAATCTAAATGTTAACGGAGTGTAAGCTAAGCAAAATATCATAGTTAACAGCCTCCATATATGCTAGGTTTGATGCTCAATTTAATAGTGTTTATCAACCTTAAATAATTTGGACAAACAAGTAAGTACCTTAAATATAAACCTTCCTTTGAATTACTTCACTATGAAGGTCACACGATGCTGATTCATTTTCTGTGGTCTATTTTATGTTGATAGTATATGAACATGTATCCTTTTTAAAACCATGAAAGTGTTAACATTCATTCAGTTATGACTCATCCTTATTTAATCTGTTAGATATTCTGAATCATTGAATAGCACATTTCCAAGCAACAAATGAAAACTCATATTTGGTTATTGGAATTCGCAAAGACAAGTTGGTTTCCACCAAGCAGGCTAGGAAGAGTAGCTGATTAGAGACATGTGCCTACAGAAATCTGACAAAAAATTAAAAGGTATACAACATCACCTTCTGTGGCAGGGTCTGTGCAAGTTTGGAAGTTAGCAAAAGTTTAACAATGACTGTGACCCTATTTCTGTGAAGGACAAAATAACAGACATGGGGAACAATATATTTCAAAACCACATCATAACAAGGGGTTATTTTTTTACAAGTCATGCAGTAGCTGTTTTTCATATGCTCTGATATCTGAATAGAGATAAATAGCTTTAAATAAAGAGAATTTCCCTCAATTAGTTTCACTGTTTACTGTGTACTTCTATTCGTTACGCAATATAATGTTATAATTACATTACATGTATGTTTCACGAGAATCAGTTAGTTTGATTGGCTAACAATTGCGCGTCATTCAAAAATTAACCTTCAAAATGAAATGTTACATTCGTGATGACACATGCTTCTACAAAAAAGTGCACAGGTAAATAAAAGAAAAATTTCATGGTCTAGCTTATTAGCATAAAAGTGTAATTATAAGAAATGAATGCTTCTTTTTGTAATTTTTTTGGGGTGTAAAGTGTTGATCGTGCACACATTTTTAGAATGAAGCGCTTTTGCGCTTCATATAAAATGTGCTTCAGTCAACACTTTTTCTACCCAATAAAATTACAAAAAGAAGCATTCATTTCATAAATGAATCAGGTGTTGATGGCAGATCTTTGATAGTTTCATATTAATTTATTCATAATATTTATTTAAAACTTTTACAACCTTGGGACAATTTATAGCTTGACAAATCACAAAGATACCTATTGTATATTGTTCAAGACTGCATGTTGCCCTTTAGATGTCTTTTATTTACAGGTTTTTGCTCTCATTGGGTTGCTGTCATCGACATACACACAACATATCCTTTTATTCATATACAATACATTCATGTCATTAAGAAATATTTACCACAATATTATCTAAGACTTTTACTCCTTCTTCTTGTGAGGAACACATAGAGTAAGCCTACAACAAAAGAAAACAATTACTCAAAGAAAGCTGAATTTGACATCCGATTTATAGTGACTTGATTGTAAGTATTTCTCCACATCTATTGCATTGTATTCAAAACTCTGACTCAATTGCAGTTTGTTTCTCAAATCGAACTGTTCAACTGGTCAGAAATTTTATCAAACTGCTGTAAAGGAACCACAGTCAAGTCATCAAACGGCAAGGTAGTAATATAAAGCATACTTACAATCCCTGAAGATTTGAATTCCACTTCATGGTTACTATTAAAGGGAAAATTCGCAATTTTTTACTATTCATCTTAATATGTTCATAATACCATAAAAAACATATTCGCCAAGTTTTATCTGGATATGAACACTAATAAAGAAGAAAATTGGGAATTAATAATTTAATTTGTTCGAACTTCCTGACTTATGTGACGTAGTTTAAGTCTTTTTGCATGCCGGGAGTGAATAAATCTCATTGTAAGTCTTGTTCGTTAATCATCTAATAACGCGATTTAAAGCGCATCGACGACTTTTGGCGTAGCTATTAACCAACTAATAATTAAGAAAGTAAAGTGATCAGCCGTGCAACTTTCAAAATTAAAATGTACGATTTATATTTAAAGGATTTCTGATATGATTATAGTAATAAAAGTAAATCATACAATAGAATATATTTTTATGATTTTTTTTTCCGATGGATATTTTGAACAAACATATATAACTGATATTGTTTTACAAATGCATGTTTGTATTCTCACCTGAAGTCTCTTACTTCAGTCTAGCAAACATTTCCCACTAGTACAGTGTAAATACAATGTGTATTGTACTGTGACACTTAGTGACTACCTGTTGAATGCGTGGTTAAATTCAAGGTAATTAAAAGATTAGCATTCTGTAATTCTATTCTTTTGATCTTCACTCAGTGAATTTTAGCCAACACGGTTCACCGTTACAGGTGTGAACAACATTTCGTATGAATGATAAAAACATTAATTATTTGGGGAGGAATATGGTGGCAAAATACCTGAATCGCCGTTATATATATCTTTTATATTTTTCGTAAGCTTAATTTTAAAATAGATAGGTGAGTATTTTGTTGTAACATCGAAATTCTGAATTACTTTTAATTAAATAATTTTATAAATAAAAATGGCCCACGAAAACGAGCGTATAAACCAAACACTGTACTTACTTTTTCAAATTATCATGGGTATTAACCTTGAATATTTCAATGTTTAGAAAAAAATTTCGCGGTTACATGATCATGTTAATATAGCTTGGTCCGTCCACAGCGATCTAAATTTACCTAATCAGGAATGCCCTTATTAAAATATTTAAAATCTCACAACGTGTACATACTTTAGCTATTTGACCAACGATGTTTAAAAAAAATAACAGATTCAATCTTACGTCAACTTTCCTTTTTTGAATGGAGACAGACCGGCGAAATCAATTTTCAATGTGCTTTATATCTTGTACCTTTGCAAGACTTATCATTCATTCATAAACCCACTCTATACCAGAGACATATATTTCAGTCTTAACTGACAAGAATACACCTCAAGCGGACAAGCAGTATATTCTTTAAATTTCTGTGATTTGATACCAAGAAAGAAAAAAATCCCGAAATTAATTTGATACTTTGTGATACTCAATATTTTTCCTGGAAAATATTCACATCCACACGTTTGGTCTGATAAGATAATAATATGGTGTACAGAACATGCAGAGGTGTGAATGTCATAAAACCTTGTTATATCAGAAACCATTATAAATGTGAACCTTTATACGTAAGACCTCATGGAACGTCACCTAAGCACATACAGGTAATATACAAGTAGCTCTGTTATACCCGGAAATGTCAAGGTAAATCGCTACCGATACCGAATGTACCAATGCAAAGAAAATTCGGATGATTGTGAAGCGTGACCATTCATGATTTTAGAGGAGTCTTAGGTGGAAATTGCCGGTACGATTTAAATTCTGACTAGATTTTTTTCTCTCAATTTAAATCACTGAACTAAAAAAAAAGAAACCTTTGTCCAAGATCAGAATTCTTCATGTAAATTCATAAATACAACGTTCTTATTTTGCAACTTTCAATATACCGGCTTTACCTCCAACCACAGCCCCCTCCCAACCTGGGAACAGTATATTTAACATTACAATGTTTGTGTACCTACCCAAATCAAAAAAAAAAAAAGAAGAAAAAAAAAAGAAAGAGATGAACGGTAAGTCACATCAGATTCAAATATTTATATGGTTGATTGTCGTTAACTGGAGATGTATAGTTACACATCTCTGCGTTAACTTATATAAATGACAGGAAAGTATATACTTGAAATAGATGTATGATGAATTATATGCAACTGCGGCACCCCTTTTTATCAAAGTGTACATGCATTTTAATGACTGTCCGTTATTTTGATTAAGAATGACAATTGAACGTGAAATTCTATAGTTACCAGTGAGACTTTTTTTTACCAGATATGCGACTTTTCGTATTTATATTTTCTCTTATATTACTCTCATTTAATATTTTATGCATAAGTGCAATATTGTGAATAGTTTATTCCCCCACAAGCCAACTAAATAAATTAATCAACCATCTAGCTAATCAGACGTTAATACAAATACTATCAGTCTATCCGGAGTGAAGTTTCTTTATTTCTTCAAATAGATTTTTTGGGGATCATTAGTGTACGTCCAGTGGCATATATATTACATGCATGTCGGAATAGGAAAGTTAGCATAATGTACTTTTAGAACCATGTTCACATCATTATACATTATATCCAACAATTGTGGTGATGACGAATTTCTTTAACTGTTCGAGAACAATCTAAATGAAATATAAATCTGTGATTTTACTATGTCCATAACTTCGATGAACCAAAGCAAGTGAGAAATCAACCTGTATTTAAATCAAATTGGTTCTGGATGTTCCTCTGTTATATTCAAAAACATGTATATATTTTTAATTGCGACTATCTATATCCGTAACTTTCTATCTAGGCGTATTAACCAATGACCGACAAGTGCGTACATTTTTGTTAAATCAATATTTGTATGTTTCAAAATGTCCATCATTATTGACAACGAGTATATACTTACATTTTCCACAATTTACCCTAGGAAAAATTTTATCAAATCTTTTTTTGGAATTATTTAGATTTTCATAAATATCATTCTTTACACCAGAAATGTTATTTATAAACAAGCGTATGTGTTTAGTAATGACTAGTATATCACTCTCGGACACGCAAGACAAAGATGTATATTACACCTGATAGTTTCAAAATGGAAAGTTACACTTGAAGTTATCGGCCGTGTACACTGATCAATACCCTCAGAAATGAAGGGATGCATGAACTTGCTTTATGTAATTGTGTAATAAGAGTTTTTAAGTCCGACAGGAAATCGCATGAATACCTGGACGTGTCACCTCACAATACCTCTGGGAATAATTCCTTTAGCCATATGCATGCTGATGATCAGATAAGGGAAGGTCTGAATTTATTTAAATAATTAGATATAAGAAAATGTTGTATGAGTGCTAATGAGACAACTCTCCATCCAAGTCACAAATTGTCAATTTATAAAAGTAAACCATTATAGGTAAAAGTACGGTCTTCAACACGGAGCCTTGGTTTATTACATAAAAAAAGTATGAACAAATTAGATTTTCGAAAACAATCATACACGGGACACTTATTTATGACTTTGAACTTTGACTTTTTAACTAATTCCCATATAAATTTCTTGTTTCAAAACTTAGTAAAAACAAGAATTTGTATAGTAACAAATACAAATCCTTGGTAAAAAAAAAACAGTTTAAAAACGACAGACTTTAGTTATTAAAAAAAAATAATTACATTTTCCGTATCATGTAGTTAGGAAAGGTTGAACAACCATGTCTATTATAATCATGTTTGTGACCCGGGAAACTGTTTATGCTTTTCTTGTCGGATAAAACAACTGTACGCTTGACAAGATATCGACACGCAATTACGACTACGTTAGGTTACTGCTAGTTTTGGTCCTTTGTGGTTTATAGATATATCGTGGTTTCGAAACCGAGAAGATGTCAAAATGGCCGCATGCAGAGAATTGATACTCTAAATTTAAAATCGATGGTGATCTCTTATATAGCAGAATAAAACTTTAATATTTATGAATTTGTGTTTTTTTATACAGAATGAACATAATATCAATTTTTCATTTTTTTGCGAAGTTTCCCTTTAACGTTCTTTTCCTATTTCAGGTTGAGGACTGACTCAACTTTTCCAGTCCTCAACCTTTTCCAATCAATTCTTTTAAGTAATTTTAACACTCGTAAAGTGTTCTAGAATCATTAAATAACATTTTAAACTTCTACTTCAAGTCATATGAAACGAGTTTCTTGTTATTATAATGTTAAGGAAATAATTGAACCAATGCATGTATATTTACTAAACTAAGTCCTCTATGCACATTTTTTCACAAATTACAACGAATCTACAACACATTATCGACGAATTATATTTCATTCAGTAATTGTTGATCGCAAGCTATTTAACTTTCAAGTTTGTTGCTGAAGTTTACTAAATCGTGACATTGATAAACAAACAACACAGAATCATGGAGAAAAAAAATTAAACTTTTTGTTGTTAAATGATTTGGTGTATTTAATTTGTTGTTTAAGAATCAATTATTACTATTTACCTTCTAGTGCATGTTTGTTTACATTATTTCATCAAAGTTTTTCTCTCTCACTTGTGCTGTGCAATAACCTAAATTCTAACGAGAGATGTTGTAGTAAAGGTCACTGCATACCGAAAATATCAGCCAATTAGAGTGTGGGAAGACAATAATTCAATAGTAGTATATTTCTGAAGATTTTGATAAGATAATTGATTTTCTTTTACAAGAAAGTCCATGTACACTTGTTTTATAGTAAACCTTAGGCATTCAGGTATATAAAACATATTCAACTTTTTTTTTAAATTTGAAGTATCATACGACATTAATAATGGAGCCTGTGTCGCTCACCTGTATCTACTGTGGTTTTGGAAATCATGTAAAATACGGTTAAATTCATAATAGATACCCTAATAATGATTGAGGCCAATTTGGTTTAATTTGGTCCAGTAGTTAAATTAAAAGTAGAAGATTTTTGAAAAAATTTACAAAAATTACCAATAAATTGCAGAAAATGACTTTAAAGGACAATAACTCCAATAAGATGTCAATTGCCAATTTTGGTCATGTTGACTTATTTGTAGATCTTTCTTTGCTTGATATTTTTGCTGATTACAGTATATCTCAATCTATAATGATATTCAAGATAATTAACAAAAAATGCAAAATTTTCTTTCCTCCACTCCAAAATTTATTTCACCCAGGGCCTGAATAATGCTGGAAATGCCTTTAAAATGTTTTTCTAAACACCCTTAAAAAAAATTTGGGCAAGGGTCTTGACCTCGACTAACCTGTCTGGTCTGGGGGGCATTCACCCAATATAAGTATGCTGAAAGAAAAGATATAATAATGGTTTTTAGAAAAAGTAACACTGAATAAATCTGAAAATGGAACATATCAAGGAGGAATAATTAGCAACCCCCCAACCCCTGAAAAAAAATTGCATCCCCCCTGGGGAAAAAAATCAAGTCATCCCATTGTAGTCACAATAGTTACTGAAGACCCCTTATCATTATTTAAATTAGTTTTCAAGTTGTGACCATTTGAAATTGTTTTTTTACATTTTCCTCATAGACTCTTATAGTAAACACCTATATTCTATTTTTACCCATGGTGACCATGTTGGTTGTAGGGCAGGGTCATCAAATACATTTTTCAATCGAGATACTCTAATAATTATTTGAGTAAGTTTAATTCCATTTGGCCAAGTAGATTAAGAGGAGAAGATTTTTGTAAAAGATTACAAAAATTTATAAAAATAGTGAAAAATTGACTTTAAAGGGCATAACTCCTTAAGGGGTCAATTGACAATTTTGGTTATGTTGACTTATTTGCAGATCTTACTTTGCTGAAATTTTTGCTGTTACAGTTTATCTCTATCTATTATAATATTCAAGATAATAACCAAAAACTGCAAAATTTCCTTAAAATTACTAATTCAGGGGCAGCAACCCATCAAGGGGTTGTCTGATTTGTCTGAAAATTTCTGGGCAATTAGATTTTGACCCGATGAACATTTTTACCCTGTCAGATTTGCTCTTTATGCTTTAGTTTAAGAGATATAAGCCAAAAACTGCATTTTACCCATATGTTCTATTTTTAGCCATGGTGGCCATCTTGGTTGGTAGGCGGAATCATTGGATATATTTTTTATTAAACTAGATACCCTAATGACGGAGGCCAAGTTTGGTTTAATTTGGCCCAATAGTTTCAGAGGAGAAGAATTTTGTAAAAGATTACAAAAATTAACGAAAATTATGAAAAATTTACTTTAAAGGGCAATAACTCCTTAAGGGGTCAATTGACGATTCTGATCACATAACTTATTTGAAGATCTTACTTTACTGAACATTATTGCTGTTTACAGTTTATCTCTATCTATAATAATGTTCAAGATAACCAAAAACTGCAAAATTTCCTTAAAATTACCAATTCAGGGGCAGTAACCCATCAATGGGTTGTCTGATTTGTCTGAAAATTTCAGGGCAGATAGATCTTAACCTGATGAACAATTTTACCCTTTTGTCAGATTTGCTCTAAATGCTTTGGTTTCAGAGATATAAGCCAAAATCTACATTTTACCCCTATGTTCTATTTTTAGCCATGGCGGCCATCTTGGTTGGCGGGCAGAGTCTTTGGATAAATTTTTTTAAACTAGATACCCTAAGGATGATTTATGCCAAGTTTCGTTCAATTTGGCCCAGTAGTTTCAGGAGAAGATTTTTGTAAAAGTTAACGGACAACGTCGGACGACGGACACCAAGTGATGAGAAAAGCTCACTTGACCCTTTGGGTCAGGTGAGCTATAAAGGGTATTTCCATGAACATACTGCAAACGATCACTCACAATCTGAAATTACTGAAGTTTCACGAGATGTTTTCAGTTAGTGTCAAAAAGTATTTTCCCTGAATTCCCCCGACATAAAAAGGGTTGTGGACAATGTACCAGTATGGAAATACTTGGCTGATTAAGGTTAGTATGCTGTATCACTTTGATGACTTGACTGTGGTTCTTCTACAGCACTTTATTAAGATTTTTTTCTTTTTATTGCTATTTTATTTTTGTTATAACTTTTCGAATGGGATCATCCATTGAAATCTACTCACCTGCATTTACCTGTTTGATTACTTAACTGCAAAAAAAATATGCTCATTTCTTTTAATATTATTTTTGAATTTTGACTTGGTCTAAAATTTTGATAGTTTTGAGAGATAAATTTAACCTGCCTTCCATACCCTATACACAATTGCCTTTTATATATTATCACTTTTAATCTACCTTTGTAATTCTTAGAATTGTTTATTGATTATTATTTGAACTATTGTGTTGTGTGATTCCATATCATTAGCCTAATAAAATGTTTTTATTATATAAGTATTTTTCATGAATTTGAAAGTTATTTGGAATAAAAAAAAATAAAAATCAAGTTCTACAGCAACAACATCTTATATCAAAATATTATATCTCTTACATTAAAATCATATTTAGGACATCAATTTTATTTCATTCATTTTATGAACATTAAGATTATAATACTAAGTTGGTAGATAGTTTTTTCTTCCAAAAATCTTGAACTGCTAGATAGTAGCTTGTCAATGAAGACTAGGGCCTTAGTTTTCGAAAGTCTCTTTAAAACACCATTCTTAGTCCTTACTGATGTTTTTGAGTGCATCTTCAATTGATATAAATCATTAAAGTTATCATTAAATTAGGACAAAATACATATCTTAGATGTGGTCAGTATAATCAGAAATGTTTATTTCTGTTTTATTCTATTTCTGACATTTAAGCCTTCTGGTCTAACATTATTCTATTAAAAATTCAAACAAAAAAACAGGTTGCTAGAAAACTACAACTATTCTGCAAAATTTGATATATCAAGGATAAAGATGAAAAAGGAAAATAAAAACTGTTACCTTCATAAGTAATTGCGGAGATGGGTATTCAGCTATAATAGCCTCTGCCATATCAGGACTAACATTTTTGAATTGCAGAAGCTGCTGCTTCCAGACCTTCAGCAAACCCTGACCAGATTTATCTACCTTGACACCAGTGGTGCCATCTTCATGAAAGGAAAATATGGAGTTCAGTCTATCTTTCCTGTAAAAGAAATTTTATATGTGACAAAGAATTTGTGTATGAATAATACTAATACTTTATTTATCAATCACCATTTTTGACAGGTTACCTCAAAGAGTCATCTTGTAGGACCTACTTCACTCAACCTGAATTCTATAAAGTGAGGTTTGTGTCATAAAAAAAATATAATTTTTCTTCTTCAAACAACAAATACTGTGTAAGTACTTTTATTAGTGGGTATCAGTTTTTTGAGGTTTGAGCAAAAATTATACGTTTGCGGAAAAAAATTGAGTGAAGAATTTGAAGCCATCAGAAACAAAGATTCTTGAAGATAATCATATTTTGTTTAATGATTTCTGGGACATTGTAAATGAAAGAACCTTAGTGAGCGTGCTCACATACCCCACGTCCCAACATTGTCATTGGAGAAATAAAATAAGTGTAAGAAAAAACAAGAAATGATTGTAACAGGATGCTGTTACGAAGTCTCCCAAACGAAGCTCCCATAATTCGAAATTCCCAGTGTCGCCTGAAATTGGACAAAGTCCAGTGAAAATTGGTTTGGTCCAGTAAAGTATCTGCATTAGTGATGCCTGGGGACTAACCCTGTATATCATTCAAATCATCTTGGCATGACAAACCAGAATATATATGGTTTAGGGGTGGGGATCTCGACCATTTACAAGATACTAGAACATTGGGGGTGGGGGAACCCCTGGGGACTGACCCTATACATCATTCAAATGTTCAAGACATGACGAACAGGAATGTATATGGTTAAGGTGTGGGGATCTCGACCATTTACAAGATATTAGAACATTGGAGGTGGGGGGAACCCCTCGGGACTGACCTTATACGTCATTCAAATGTTCGAGACATGATGAACAGGAATATATATATGGTTTAGGGGTGGGGATCTCGACCATTTACAAGATATTAGAACTTTCTCAAATGGCAGGGGGTCGAGATGACCCCTGGGGACTAACCCTGTATATCATTCAAACCATCTTGGTATGACTAACCAGAATATATATGGTTTAGGGGTGGGGATCTTGACCACTTACAAGATATTAGAACTTTCTTAAATAGCAGGGGGTGGGGGTGACCCCTGGGGACTAAACCTGTATATCATTAAAACCATCTTCGCATGACAAACCAGAATATATATGGTTTAGGGGTGGGGATCTTGACCACTTACAAGATATTAGAACTTTCTTAAATGGCAGGGGGTGGGGTCGACCCCTGGGAACTAACCCTGTATTTCATTTGATGTGCTTTATCATGACAAACCAGAATATATATGGTTTAGGGGTGGGGATCTCGACCATTTACAAGATATTAGAACTTTCTTAAATGGCAGGGGGTCGGGATGACCCCTGGGGACTAACCCTTTATATCATTCACACCATTTTAGCATGAAAAACCAGAATATATATGGTTTAGGGGTGGGGATCTTGACCACTTACATGATATTAGAACTTTCTTAAATGGCAGGGGGTGGGGGTGACCCCTGGGGACTAACTCTGTATTTCATTTAATGTGCTTTATCATTTAGAACATTTTCAATTAAAAAGATTGTGTCTATCACAAACGGTTTTCAATTTATAATCATAGGGTTCTATAGTAAAACCCTCCTTTCTTTTTGCCCCTCAAAGTACCCCTTTATAAACCCCAATGTACAAACAAAACCCTGAATCCTGATTGCACCACTAGACATGTAAGTCTAGCATATTGTGAAACCCTAAGTTAATCTGACAAGTGGTTTTGGAGAACGAGTGCGGACAAGTTCAAATTTAAAAGCGGCGGAAGAAGAAGAAGAAGAAGAGAAGAAGAAGAAGAAGAAGAATAATAATAATAATAATAATAATAATAATAATAATAATAAGAACTGAGCAAAACCAATAAGTCTTCCCAAACTTCGTTTGGGAGACTTAAAAATTGTATCAGAAAAAAAAATTGAATCATAATTTCCTGTCGATATGCACATCTACGTAGTATGTCCTTCTTATTTGAAAAGGTTTCATGAAATTCTGTTGTGTGGTTTAAGAGGAGTTGCGATGACAAAAGGGTGCAGTAGTATATTGGGCAAATAAGTTCAAAGGGGCGTAACTCCTGGAAAAAAAATTAAATCGTAATTTCCTGTCGATATGCACATCTATGTAGTATGTCCTTCTTATCTGAAAAGGTTTCATGTAATTCTGTTGTGTGGTTTGAGAGGAGTTATGATGACAAAAGATTGCAGTAGTATATTGGGCAAATAAGTTCAAAGGGGTGTAACTCCTGGAAAAAAAATTAAATCGTAATTTCCTGTCAAAATGCACATCTAAGTAGTATGTCCTTATTATCTGAAAAGGTTTCATGAAATTCTGTTGTGTGGTTTGAGAGGAGTTGCAATGACAAGAAACAGGACTGACGGACTGATGGACTGACGGACGGACGGACAGACGGATCAAAAACATTATACCCTTCGCAACTCGTTGCGTTGGGTATAAATATGGTGTTCATTTTAACTTACTTGTTCGTCTTTCATTACTGACAACATTCATCAGAAGTGATGACACTTATTAACCCGAGATCAAATGATCAACAGTATAAAGATCATCACAGGTATTAGTTGGGCCCTAAACATATCACTAAAGAAAACGGTTACATAAACAAATGCTACAAATGTACTTTGAATTGTAGAATTTATTCTTAAAAAATAAAAAAGCCCAATATGAAATTAATTTTTTTCTTATGAGAATTAGGAGACAAACTAGAGGCTCTAAAGAGCCTGTGTCGCTCACCTTGGTCTATGTGCATATTAAACAAAGGACACAGATGGATTCATGACAAAATTGTGTTTTGGTGATGGTGATGTGTTTGTAGATCTTACTTTACTGAACATTCTTGCTGCTTAGTATTATCTCTATCTATAATGAACTTGGCCCAGTAGTTACAGTGGAAAATATTTTGTAAAAGTTTACAAAAATTTACAAAATTTATGAAAATTGTAAACAAGAGGCTCTCAAGAGCCTGAATCGCTCACCTGTTATTTTTTTTGCTTAAATCTTTCATCAATGATTATTTTTGCTTTTTACCCATAGTGTCTATGTTTCTTGACATACAAGGAAATGAAGTACAAAATTTATACTTGATTCATTTGAGAAGATTTTTAAAGTTAAAAAACATAAAACAACTTGTGTAAAATTGTCCTTAAAGGGCAATATCTCCTAAAGGGGTCAATTGACCATTTTGGTCATATTAAACTTTTTTGTAGATCTTACTTTGCTGAACATTTTTGCTGTTTACAGTTTATCTTTATCTTCAATAATATTCAAGATAATAACCAAAAACTGCAAAATTTCCTTAAAACAACCAATTTAGTGGCAGCAACCCAACAATGGGTTGTTCAGTGTGTCTGAAAATATCAGGGCTGATAGATCTTGACCTTTGGAACATTTTTACCCCATGTCAGATTTGCTCTAAATGCTTTAGTTTCTGAGATATAAGCCAAAAACTGCATTTCACCCCTATGTTCTATTTTTAGCCATGGCGGCCATGTTTGTTGATGGATCAAAATTTCGGATACAATTTATAAACTAGATTCCTAAAGGAACATTCATTCAAAGTTAAGAAGTATTAGGCACAATAGTTTCAGAAGAGAAGATTTTTAAATGTTAGCAAACTTGATGAACACATTGCGTAAAATTGTATTTAAAGGGCAATAACTCCTTAAGGGGTCAATTGACAAATTTGGTCATTTAATTTTTCTGTAGATCCTACTTTGCTGAATTTTGGTCATATAAAACTTTTTTGTAGATCTTCCTTTGCTGAACATTATTGCTGTTTACAGTTTATATCCATCTATAATAATATTCAAGATAACAAAAAACTGCAAAATTTCCTCAAAACTACCAATTTAGTGGCAGCAACCCAACAATGGGTTGTTTGATTTGTCTGAAAATTTCAGGGCTGATAGATCTTGACCAATTGAACAATTTTACCCGTGTCTGATTTGCTCTAAAAGCTTTAGTTTTGGAGGTATAAGCCAAAAACTGCATTTGACCTCTATGTTCTATTTTTAGCCATGGCGGCCATGTTTGTCGATGGATTAAAACTTTGGATACAATTTATAAACTAGATATCCTAAGGAACATTTAGATGAAGTTTGAAGGTATTTGGCCCAGTAGTTTCAGAGGAGAAGATTTTTAAATGTTAGCAAACTTGATGAACAAATTGTGTAAAATTGTCTTTAAAGGGCAATAACTCCTTAAGGGGTCAATTGACAATTTTGGTCATAGAAAACTTTTTTGTAGATCTTCCTTTGCTGAACATTATTGCTGTTTACAGTTTATATTTATCTATAATAATAATCAAGATAATAACAAAAAACTGCAAAATTTCCTTAAAACTACCAATTTAGTGGCAGCAACCCAACAATGAGTTGTTCGATTCGTCTGAAAATTTCAGGGCTGATATATCTTGACCAATTGAACAATTTGACCCTATGTCAGATTTGCTCTAAAAGCTTTAGTTTTTGAGATATAAGCAAAAACTGCATTTGACCCCTATGTTCTATTTTTAGCCATGGTGGCCATGTTTGTCGATGGATCAAAACTTCGTTACAATTTATAAACTAGATACCCTAAGGAACATTTAGTAAAAGTTTGAAAGTATTTGGCCCAGTAGTTTCAGAGGAGAAGATTTTTTAAATAGTTTACGACGACAGACGACGACGACGGACGCCAAGTGATGGCATAAGCTCACATGGGGCCCTTTGGGCCCTGGTGAGCTAAAAATTGACTATAAAGGGCAATAACTCCTTAAGGGGTCAATTGACAGTTTTGGTCATGTTAACTTATTTGTAGATCTTACTTTGCTGTACATTATTGCTGTTTACAGTTTATCTCTATCTATAATAATATTCAAGATAATAACCAAAAGCTGGAAAATTTTCTTAAAATTACCAATTCAGGGGCAGCAACCCAACAATGTGTTGCCTGATTGGTCTGAAAATTTCAGGGAAGATAGATCTTGAC